AAGGTCCAAATAATCGAAGCTAACCTCTATGTCAGAAAGATGACTGTGACTGACTCTGTTCTCTCATCAATAGAAAAAATTTTGTTGAAAAACCCGGCAATTTACAATTACATCGAAGTAGTACCAAAAACGTTTCTCGCATCTGCAGGAGTACAAAGCTGGCGACAAGAGGATGTTTTTGCAAAAGAACCTGTTCGAAGAATGATAGTAGCAATGAGCATAAACGAAGCATATTTGGGTACTAATAGAACAAACCCTTTTCATTACCAGAAATTTGGGTTGAATGAGATCATTGTGTACAGAAACGGTCTACCCATTGCCACAACTCCCATCTCAACATCAGACAATAAAAGAATTTATTACAATACGCTTGAGGCTCTTGATTTTGTTTTAAACACTAGTCATGGAATCAGTCTCGCTTATTATGATAATCATTATATTATGGCTTTTGATCTCAAGTCTACTCAGGAGGCTTCACACGATTTTATTCATCCTGAATTGACCAATTGCACTATTTCGCTCGAACTCAAGTTTGACGCAGGTCTCGGTAATAACCTCGAGTTATTGTTTATGGGAGAGCGTGCATCAACAGTTTTTGTGCGTTCAGATAGAAAAATTACCAAAAACACTCTTATGACCTAAGATAGACATGGATAATCTTCAACTAGTAGAAATTATTAACCGTTGTAAACATTTGAAATATCGCTTTAGAGGTGTTTTTCCGGCAGATTTGCCATGCTCTTCAGTACTGAAAAACGATAATACGGTCATGATTATGAATGCCTCACCATCGGATCAACCTGGAACCCACTGGTTGCTTTTTGCTCAAGCTGGAGGACAGATATTCTTCGCAAATCCTCTAGGTAAACGATTATGTGATTATCCCCTCGTGTACAAGAATATGCGACGTCTAATTCAAGAGGGAAATCAACTACTGTTGAAAAAACCAATACAATCAGCTGATTCAGTGTTATGTGGACTTTATTGTATTTATGTTGCTCATGTTATAATTGCAAACAAATTTCCAATAGGTTTCAAACTTAATGATCATGATTTGATAAGATTTGCCAAACATATGTTATTCTAAATTAATTTATTGATGTTTTTGTAAAATTTATAAATTCGTTTTTTTTTTCAATTCATTCTTATTAACAACATAGTTTTTTTTCTGCAAGTTTATGTGAATCGCGAAAAGTTTCATATCAAGTCCTTTGAAATATTAAGGCATGGCCGTTTGGTTTAAGGGGCAATAGCTAACCCGGCGTTGCTCGTCGCTACGCTCCTCGGGAACGCCTCCTGCTTGTGTAGTAACATTTTTTTTTGATATACAAGAGCGAAAGAAAACCAATATTTAAAACTTGAATTTCTTCTCCAGGATAAATTTCACAAACAAAGTGTTTGAATCAATTTCCATACAACCATACCCACTTAAAATTATGTCAATTATTTTAGAAAACTCAGCAGCGTTTTCACCATTCAAAATATTAGTAAAGCGTTCAATTGTTACGTTAGTAATCAGGTCAGTTTGAGTTTGAACAGATTTAGTCTGCGAGCCGAAGCAAACCTGAGGCAATCTTCTCCGAACTGGAACACCACTAACATCTAAGTTGTTGATGGAGTTATAATTCACAGCTATTTTCAGTTTTTCCATCAGAGGGCCAGACAATTCATAGTTGGAGCAACCCAAAATTAAATATTTGAATGTAGAGAGAAGACAAGGAACAACGAAGGCTTTTGAAGTCATCTTGTTAAGTAAATCGGTAGACTCTTTCGTGAAATCGACCAGCACATGATAATGTTTTTGGTTGTCAATCGAATGATTGCAAAAATCTAATTTATTCGAATGGAAGGATACCGCAAAATTTGCTTTTGAAGCGAAGCCTGAAAAGTTGGGTTCATGATTCAGGATGAAAAATTTGTAATTTTTACGGAACTGTTTGAAATAATCAGGGGATTGCTCATACATTGCTTCAACCATTGCTTCGAAGTTTCAATAGAATAACGAGTTGATAATGTTACAAAACCCGACAGTTATCATCGTTTTCACTTTCGCATTCCTTTTCAGAGCATGAAGATTTTTAAGTTTGTTTCGCTTTTTTCTAAGTTTTTCAGTCACGCCGCAGTTTTTTGCTTTCGTCAACTTTTTAATTTTTGTGTAATTGTCCGCCAAGGTTCGAATTCACCAGTTGACAAAGTTATTCCTTGTCGATACTTGAAAGTTCCCTCTTCGTCTTTTTTGTACAATTTGATAGTTAGGTAAGTACCGGTCTGTGCGAATGTTTTTGCACCGACTCTAACTAAACGTTTATCATTCAAAGATATATCCCTAAAATCATCGAAATAGTCTACATCCGTTTCAAGAGAAGCGTATATTATCAATGAATAACAACCAACTGGTTTTTAGTGTGGAACGTTGAAGAATGACTGATCACAGTATACGAGACAGATCATGCGCTCCCAAAGTAAAAATTTAGGTGATAAAGTTTACGAGCGCCCTAAGCTATATTGATAAGACTTAATCACCAAGGATATAATTTCTTTAACGATAAACCTCTTTTTATATGGGTATTTAGTTACTTTTTCCCTCGGCTATACTCTAAAAATCTTCTAGTGTTATTTACTGTGACGGTTATTTTAATGACTGTTATGAATCATGGTAATGAATTTCTAACAGCATAACAAAGAATGTCTGGCAAACTATCATGAAAACTTGATTTTGAGTGCTTTCGCCCGTAGCCACTATAATGAAGCTTTCACATAAATCTAAAAAATCGGGTTTTCACATTTATTCCTAACATGACCTCAGGCGTCATGCTTAAAAGAATGAATAAAATTTGATAGCTTTGCCTAGAAAGTTGTTAGCTCTGACCTAATTGAACTATGCCACCCCTTTCCTGATCTCATTCTCATTAATAAGCTTTTCATACTTTTCGTTCTCTCAATTTCATTTCGGTAGTTAAGTCATTTCATTTTAACAAAACTTTAAACCTCTTCAAGTCATGACTAGTCCTTTACAAATAATCTCAGTGTCTGATCGAGAAAGAACAACTATCTACCAAACATACACGAGAGAGTCGATTGCAGTCATCCATCAACAGAAAGAGAGAGTCTCTCCGTCTACAGCAAGCCCGTTCAATGACTTGGCTCCCCGAAAAAACGACGAGAATCAAAACGAGGAGAGGACTACAAAAAGTTATATCATGCTACCGAAGTACCTCCTTGATCACATCGATCTACTTAGACAGAATCGAAAACGAATGTACGAGAGTTGCACTATTCACGAGAGCTATCCAGCATTAGAAAAGACGGAGATAAACGACACAACCTCACTCGAGCAGTCTCCAAGAAAAATTCTCTTCGCGTATGACTGCGAGTCAATGCCGTTGTATGAAAATCAGGAGGGGTGTATTCGTGATTATGCAGAGCGCGAAGCGTACTGGGATATTCCGACAGCAATGTCTCCCGAGTCGTTTGTTAGGGGAGCAGTTTCAACTCCAGAACAATCAACTTCCTGTTCAGATGCTCGGGTTTCATCTAGTGCGGAGACAATTGATCTAGTCACCCCAGATCTCATTCAAGGCACTCCTCCAAATGCAGCTTGCTATGCGCCAAAAAAGAGAAAACTACAGTTTCGAGGTTTCTAATAACTTAAACAAAAAAACTTTCCTTTGTTTCAAATATTATTCCAAGGTTTTATATATTCATTTTTGTTTGATTTGACTTCTAAGCTGTTTTAACATTACTGTGTGTATATTTTTTGTCTCAGTTTTTATTTTGCTTGATAGATCAATTAAAGTTTGCCCCGTAAAGTTTTCAGCAAAATGTAAGAGAAAAACTAGAAAAAAATCAAAAATCGAGAAAAATTTTATGCTAAAATTGTTGTTTGAGAAAGAATGAGAGAGAGAGAGAGAGAGATAAATACACTTGCTCAGTAGTGAATTCCATTTGGAATATCCTTTTCGGGATATTGCTTTCTTTTCAAAAGAAAGATAAATATGGAAGGGTCCAACATTTTCTTGTTGGTAGTCCAACCATATTTATTTGGCTTTTTTATCAAACACTCTCTGTTCTCTCTCTCATCATACTTTGTGCCCGGTGGGGTTAGCCAGGTCTTACGCAAAATAACAGAGAGTGTTTTAAGCCATAAATCTGCATTATATTACATTCATATACATGTTTTGGGTGTAAAACGGACAATTTTTTGGTAAAAATGTGAAAAAAAGAAAATTTATGTTTTTTTTTTAAAAATGAACATGACCCTTAACCCTGCTCAGTAAGTCATGGCTAATTGATTGAGGGTAGTTTCAATGGATTTGGAGAGAAAAAAATTTTTTCCCAACTTTTTTTTTCAATATTTTCACAAAAATCAGATTTTCTCGAAAAATCACAACTTTTTAAGCGTCTCTTCTCATTGATTGGGCTATAATTGTTTTTTTTTTTAAATTTCTACGCTTGTCCTAATTACGTATCAGATAGCTCCTAAAAACTTCAAACCACATTCACTTGAATTTAAAACGAGAACGAATAAGTTAAAAATGAAGGAAAAAAGAAGTTAAAAAATTTTGTTTTTTAAATTTCGAACACGACCAGTAGAACTGTGCTCGAGGTCCCACAAAACTTACTGTTTTTTTTGTTGATAGATTTAAAAGACACTTTTTTAAACATTACTTTTCCTTTTTTCACAACATAAAAAGTTTGAGGTTTTCCTTTAGTTTGAAAAAAAAATTTCACTTGAAATTACAGAACGGGAGGCGTTCCCGAGGAGCGTAGCGACGAGCAACGCCGGGTTAGCTATTGCCCCTTAAACCAAACGGCCATGCCTTAATATTTCGAAGGACATGATATGAAATGTTTCACGGGACACTCAATGACATGAAGGAAACTTTGATTCCGATATCTTTTACACATTCAAATGACAATCTTTGCTTATCATGCATCGGTAAATATCAAGGTATCAAATTTGCAAAATTTTCATTTATTAAGTTTACTATTTTATTTCAATTTAATAAGTTAGTTGAGGGCTTTACTTTCTGAATACTTTTATCTCATGTTTCTACTTTTTATTATACCTATTTACGCAAACCAAGAAGTGGGCTTGAAATCATTAGGAAATTACTGTTTCACGGTTAAAATTAGTCAGAAAAAGTTTTAGGCTCTATCTGAATCATTCTAAGCTTTAAAATTTTAATTGAAAGTCTAAACCAGTACCCTAAAAATGCAAAAACTTTATCGCTAACCCTTAAAATTAACAGCAAAAGTTTGAGGCTGTAAATGAATCAGTTTTTAGTATACAAAACCCCTGCACTTGAGCCGAGTGATGAGACATATAGAGCTTAAAGCTAGAATAAACCTTGTTTTTGGAAAGGAAAGTACTTATTGTCAAGACGGCGAAGTATAACTCTCGTTAATGGCTTCTACTTGCCCTTACCCGCAAAGTTTTTTGGTGCTAGTCACTTCTCGCTTTTGCTTTTTCATAACCAGTTCTACTTCTCGAAATTCTCCTGAGTTACTTGCCGAACTCTACTTCTATCGCGACACCTGTTCCTTGCCAGCAGTGCGGAAAAATATTGAGCTCTAAAAGGAACTTGAGAAGACATGAGCGAAAAGTTCACAAGATCCTTCCTCTCCCTACTCCTCAAACTGTTTGCGATGAGTGTCTCGAATCATTCGAGAGTTTGTCGGAAGCCCGAGAGCACGTCGAGCTGGTACATGACATGACTTCGAATAGTCATTGTATCTATTGCCATACAATATTTCTCACCGCAGAAAGCTATGGACAACACTTGCTGAAGAAGCACGCATTGCCAGTTTGGGACGGCATTGAGACGACGTTTTCCGCTGCCCCAACGGAAAGCGCGTTCAGAAGCAAATTGCGTCGATGCGATCTCAAAGTTGGTGAAAAAGAAATGTATTTGCTTCAAGTCATGATGCAAAACAAGGAGGAAATAGATGCTCTCATACTGGAAAGGGTCAAAGAGGGTCCGAACAAGGTGCAATTCCACGTGGAAGTGGGAATGATCAAAATTCCCACTGTGCAAGACGGGGGCAGTGGAAACTTCGAAAGGACCATGCTGTTTCTGAACACTAAGACATTGACAGTGTACTTCGAGGGAATAGCTGGGGATCAATTCTTGGAACTGATTGAACAAATGGTCAACCAAGTCAATTCGTTCTCTTCTCATGGTAGCGGATGGATTATTGACAGAATTGAAAAATTGCAAATCAGTTTCGCGGCCTTCTCACCAATAAGAGCAGGATCCTACCTCGAGCTACCTGATGCACTCAGCGCAGCATCTACTCTGCTCACAAATATCAACACTAAAGATGATGACCGTTGCTTTCTCTACTGATTTGTTGCCGCATATCACAATGTGAATGAGCCGGCCCTCTACCCCACATCTAGACGGTGGCTGGAGAAAAACAAAGTCTCAACCTACAATCTCCACAAAGAAGGAATTGTGAAAATCAATGGGGAATACGAAATGCCAATGGGTCTGATGGATATGGACAGATTTGAAAAGTTGAACAATTGTCAAATCAACGTCTTCCGGTAAGCAAATTCTAATTGCCTTCTAAAAATTTTAACATTCCTTCATTAATGTTCTTCACCTATTCAAACACCCTTTTTATTTCATTCCAAACCTAGGTATAAAAATTATTTTTCTGTTCAGGTACAACGATGGCGAATTGTTGCCCATATGAGTATCGAGCAGATTCACTACTAGCCTAATTGTGGATTTGTTGCTGCTGACAGATGGATCAAAATATCACTATGTGTTGATAAGTGATCTCCAAAAACTGGTCGAGTACGTGGGGCACAAAGTGCACCGATTTCAATCTGAGATTTGTCGCAAATGTTTCCACACATGCGCTTCATTCGAAACTCTGAGAAGACATCAAGAACTGTGCTACCAAGACGAAGATGTCGTCATAACAATGCCCAAGCCGGGAAAAGATGACCACAAGTTCAAAAACTTAACAGCTCGTTGGTAGGTACCCAGAGTAATCTACTTTGATTTGGAGTCACTGCTCTTACCAGTATACGGACCGCAACCTGATCCGCGAAAATCTAGCACGCAAACAATGGAAATCCATCAACCGTGCGGCGGCTACGCGTTAGCAGTAATCGAATTTGGGAAAAAAGACCTGGTAAAGTTTGAGCTTAAAAGAGGACCGAATGTGATGGAAGAGCTAATTAGCTCCCTTGAATCGTTAGCGAGACAAATTTACGTAGAAAAAAGGAAATATTACACTTTCACTGGTATAACAGACCAGGAACGGGAAGATACTACAATTTGTTGGATATGCGAGAATGACTTTTCCGACAACGATCAAGTGGTACTTGATCATTGCCATTACACCAACAAGTTCCTGGGTTGGGCACACAATGAGTGTAACGTTAATAGAAAAATCACAAATTACATTCCAGTGGTAGCTCATAATTTGTCAAATTTTGATTTACACTTTATAATCAAAGCGCTGGCAAAAAGCGATTCGGAAAACACTTTTTCCGTAATACCCGCATCTGAAGAAAAATATATATCCTTGACAATCTCAGTATATATAAAAACGTACACGGACAAAAACGGCAAAATCAAAAAATTCTACAAAAATCTGAGGTTCATCGATTCGTATAGGTTCATGCTAGCATCGTTGGCAAAACTTGTCGATAATTTGCCCAACGAAAAGTTTTTTCTGCTGGAGAACTATTTTGAAAAACTCGGCCACTCACCTGAAAATGTCAGTCTGTTGAAACAAAAAGGGCATTACCCCTACTCATACTTCAACTCATTCGAAAAATTCCGAGAAACTCGCCTTCCCCCACGAGCAATGTGGAAAAATAGTCTAACAGG